AAAAAGCAGGGGTATGGGAAAACTTGTTGCAAGAACAAAAATTTAAAACAGCAGAACTGATTACATCTTTTTTTAAACCACTAGAGATTTCAATGAAACAAGCAAAGGAATTCACAAAGAAAAAGATGTTAAAGACAAAATAAAAATATAACTCAGGCCAACAGTTTCTGAGAAATAGCACTACAGGGAGACATTTATCCAAAGGTAGGAATTACAGATAATGGAAGTTCACATTCAAAGGTAAACTACAAAGAAATCTAAGAGTTGAAGAAAATTAAAACTAATCCATATAAGAAAGTGCAGCCATCTCAGAGTCAGGAGAAGGAGAGAGACAAAGTAAGTCAATGTACATTTAAAAATCAGATTCAGATGTCCTGACCCTGGAACATTACCACGCCATCTACATGATCATTAGTTGACGTAGCTGCTAAAGGGCAGAAATAGGACGGCTTGGTGACGTACCTGGGCATTTCAAAGCAAGAGGCATGTTTGGATTTTTGCGTGCAACCTTTTATCTGAATTTCCCAAATTCTAATGCTTGATTTAGGGTTAATTTCAACACCCCAAGTAATACGATTGAAATGGTAAATATCAACCATCAGGCCTTATCATCACATGAAAAGAATTTTTTTTTCCTCTAACTAATTTTTAAGATCTAAAAAAACCACACCCAGTATTTTTGTCTTCTGTTGTTAATAACCTCAAACACAGAATTCCATCTGAAAGGCAACCAGAGGGAACACTTCAGCTGGCCTACAACGGAGAAGCAATCTGTCCTGCTTTAATTCTTGCAAGCAGAGAAACCAAGTGAACAAAACCTTCAAAACCAGTTGATAAAGTTTTAAAGATGCAATTAAAAAGCACCGAGCCGCCGCAGAGCGCGCCTTGGCAGGCCAACGCTGTCCTCGAGCACCGGCAGGCTGGAGGACGCCCAAAGCAGGTTCTCTGCTGCGGCTCATCAACCCAATTTAAGAGACAATATGCGCACACTCATTTACGTACACTCTGTAACGAACCTCTTATTTATTTAGGATTTGCTGCGCGCTCTAAAGCTGCTTTAGCTCCTATGACCTTTCGCTGTGCCGGAACCAGTGCTAAGTCACAGCGAGCAAGACTCCCTTCGCCTGGGGGACTGGGACCAGTTTATTTCGCTCATCTTCTCTGGTCAGGAGGTCTCTTTCCCACAATGTCCTGCCCGCTCTTCACGCCAGTCTCTTTTGGCAACGTTTCCCTACTCAGTTCAGATTTTGTGTTTGTTTGCAGGGACCTGTCCTTGTAGCTGCTGTTCGACAGGACGAACAAAACAAAACAGAGTAGGATGCAAAGTGATTTACAACACCGTGCACCTACTAACGACACTCTCCCTCTGACTTCCACAGGAAAGGACCGTTGATGGTCCCCAGCATGTGGGCATCGACCCTTCCCCGCTGACCCTTCTGCTGAGCCACGCAGTCCCCCCGCTCCTCCTCCGCGTCCCCAGCTCATCCTTAACCCGCACCCGGTCCCACACGGGCTGTGGGTACAGGCATCACCCCGCGATGGTGGAGAACAGCTTTTTTTCCTCAAAACGAAGAGATGTAACGGATCGAGAAGAGTAGCGGGATGCGGTCTGACAGGGGCCGGTGGTTCTGCCTCCCCCCTGCCCTTTGCAGCAGGCAGCTCCAGGAGCTGAGCTGGCCGGGAACGAGCATGACAGGGAAACAAAAAAAAAAAAAAAAAAAGGGATGAATTTTTTGCCAGATCAGCTCATTTAAACCACAATATCTCCCACTGCGCAAATGCTAGAGCAGCGTGAGGGAGAGGCAGAACCCCATGACTGCGACCTCAGACCCCCCCTCTCCCCCCGCCCCGTTTATTTTAGCTGTCAGGCAATCACAGACAGCAAATGACTGCAGCGTCCTACCCAGCAATCCTTAATTCTCGTTGTGGGAAGCTTTTTAGCCACACATTCCTATAACCATATTCCCTTCAACAGCAGAATATTCCATTCTTTGGGAAATATTTATACTTTGAAATATTAATTCTCCAATTAAAAAACCAACAAAGCCCAACAATCTGGAAACAGGAAAGATTTTGTTTGTTTTACTGGTTAAAGACAGAAGACACAGAGAGGAAAATACACGCTAACTAATCTGACTGGTAATTTTCATACCCCTCTGTATTTTGACAAAAAAAGTAATTTATTTCTTTGCTGCTTCATTAGGTCCAGAAAACACATCCCATTAAAAACATCCTTTCTCCCAGCCCCAAGTGTACAACTAGAGATATGCCAATTTCTAAAAATGCCAAAAAGAGAAATAACTGCAGGACAAAACCAGCATTTATTTTTATGGATTAAAAAAAAAAAAATTTAAAAAAAAATCAGAGTTATCTAATCCATCACAGCGAAGACATTTCAAAAACTCCCACAGGCTAAAATGCCAGGCTGCAAGGTTTTGCACAAAGAGCACTCAGCAATAACCTTCACAGGCTTTAGAGGAGCAGAATCAGCAGCTTCTGTCGTGAGGAGCGCTCAAGGCTTTTTGCGTAACGCTGGCTTAACGACGGACGCTCCCCAGAGCATCTCCTGCACAGCAGCAGCCTCCTGCAGCGGTCCTTGCCAGCAGCGACGCTGCTCTGGAGGACAGCAGGAACAGTCCTGCAACTTTGGGACACTGGGAATTTGGGGCTTATCTGAGGGATTTTGTCCCCTCACTTGGTCCCTTTGGGTGGATCGTCCGTGAACCCCCACAAACCTCCCGGCGACTGCACACAGAGCGGGTGCTCACCGGAAGAAGCCACTCTCCTTGCTCAGTCTACAGTTGCCGCAACACAATACAAGAGAAAATAACTCAGAACAGCCACTGTTAAAAAGATTTATAATCCCTCAGGCTACTTTGTACATTAGCTGTGATCTGAACTTGGAGAGAGGGTTTTCATGGCTTTCTTCAATTTACAATGCAACCATTTTGCTGGACTGTGCCGTTAACAGTGAAAAGGGCTTCAAACAGAGCAGTCTTTTCTTTTTTCCTTCTCAAACCCTTGAACAATCTCTGGTTTGGATGTGGACCTGGCAAGCTTGTCAGAACACTCATGAAAAACCTCAAGTAAATCCATTCTTCATCTCATTAATAAGATAAAATGTTTGCTCTAACAGAGGTCATCCACCTCTCCTCCAGCTACTTATTTAGAAATTTCAAGGTACCAATACCTGAAAGAGCCCGAGGCTGGGCCAAAACCTGCCTTTTCCTTTGTGACACATTCTCTGAGCTTTGCAATTTGTGTTCAAAAGTTAATCAATAGACTAAATTTCCTCTTTTCATCTTTAACTATTTCTGGTAAAAGTGAGTGTGATTCCAGGTTAGGCTGGCGAGCTCAAGAGCTGCAATGCTGGAAATGAAGCCAGCGTTGATGGGAGCACAGCCCTGAGAAGCCCAGAAAACAGCATTTCCAGCTCTGCATCACCCCCTGCGCAGGAGAGATCGGACAAGTTAACAAACAAGAGGAGATAATCCTCTGGACAAACGCACGGAGGAAAATTCCATCGCTCTAGCCTAACCAAGAGCAACGGAGAGAGGGCGGGGAGCCACGGATTGCTGGAGGCCAGGAAAACATCGCAGGGAGGTATCGCCAGATGCTGTCCTGTAAGCGTTTGGTAGTGACCAACGTGGGAAACAAGGAGGGCAAGGTTAAATGGATGTCTGATACGATTCAGTACATTTGGTTTTATGTCCTTTGCCTCAAGCCTCCTCCATTTTTTGCGATTGCAGCCAACTGCTCTGTATCATAAACAGTTTGTGTTGCGGGTGCTTCCCAACCCAGCCAGGCACAGGCGGTTCAAAATCCACATTCTTCTAGCAAACAGTGCCAGGGAGGTGAAACAGAGTCCCATGGGCTCTGCCCACCAGGACAGCACAAACACGGGGGCTCAACGTGCATTTTAATGCCCTAGACTTGCAAAATAAGTGGTATCTTACCAAAATACAGGAGATATTGTCTTAAAGCCATGGCAGGTTAGAAGACACTTGGGAAAGGTAAGCAATATACACGTATCAACTACAGGCTCCTATTTCCCCCTAAAACTCAAGATCTAAGCAGACACAGAGCTTAGTCTAATTTAGAAAATTCCCCGTGTTGCTTCCCTTTCAATAAGAAAACCAACACAAAAACCTGGTTTTCATATGAACAATACAAAGTTGTAACTAGCAAACTTTAGAAATACATAAATCTTCACCTTTAGTCACTTTGATCTAGTCTAATCTGGTGCTAGTACAATTTTTCCCCAATGTCTTATCAGTAAATAAATTCACCCACAGAAGTCACTATTTAAAACAACCTTCCCAAACCTTGGTTTAACTATGAAAATATGTTTGTATTAAATATTTAAAGTTAAAAATTTCTCCTGAACCAGAGTACCACCACTCTGGAGTTCTCAGGGTACACCGTGAATTACACATTTTGTATTTAGTTTAGAGAAGGATTACCTCTGTCAATCAGTTCCACTGAAAAATGACAGCATGTGAGAACGAAAGAGAGAAAATTATACAAAAGAGAAACACATTTGTTGAGAGTTGGAAAGGAAACAGATTCCAGCACATAAAAAGAGAAGATAAAACAAAGATAAACACAGGCTAACACACTTCAACAACATCACTCTACGTTTATAGTGCGAGTAGAGTTTGTGCAGAGCGTTTGACTCCTGCCTCCCCGGGCGCTCGCATCGCCTGCCAGCGGGACAGCGAGCACCTTTCCCGAGTCGCTCCCTCGGTGCCAGGCAGGGGCCCTTTTTGTCGCACAGGCACCGAAGTGCAGATGGCTGCGCTTTCCTCGGGCGGCCGCTCGCGCACGGCTGCCTGCTCAGGCTGGCGGTTAAGCTCTTCACTCCGTCTGAGGAGAGAAGAGCGACGTTCCCAATGCTTACCATGGCCCACTGCCTAGCTTTGATCCTCATCTGATTGTAGCTGCGTTCTTCGGCGTACAAGGCACTCATAAAAGCACCGATAGATGTTCCTCCGATCATATCTACGGGGATGCCAGCTTCAATCAGCGCTCTGATAACTCCCACTTGGGAGCATCCCCTGTGTCAAGAAAAGAAAAGAAAAAGACATTATCCAACAAACAGCGATCGAAAGAGCACAGAAACACAAACGCCACCTTCTAAGGGAGCTCGGTGGTGCACGAGCTGAACTGCCAGTCTCTTGCGAAACAAGCCTCGGTGCCAGAAGAAGACGCGATGACTGCAGAAATGTTCAAACAGACTCCCCGAGGCCCTTCGGAAGTACAGACCACCCGGCCGGACTTCAGTATGAAAGGCAGCGATACGAAAACAGCAGCCAAGAATGAAGGCAGTGGATATGCGAGGGAAAATTCAGCATGGCTTTTAGGGAGCAATGCATCAAAAACTCTACTAGGGTTCTTCCAAAGCAACCAAGAACAGCTGAATTTCGGAGACCTTTCCACAAGAGTCTTTTCCAGTAATTCTTCAAAGAAACTCAACCAGCCTGGGATGATGGGATGGGGCACCGCATGGATTAATAATGAATTTGAAAGATGGAAAACAAAGAGCAAGAAGAGACCAACAGTGATGAGAAGGCAGGAGTTTTGTTCAGCAGACAGACCCAGGAAAGGGGCAGATGAAGAGGCAGTGTTTGAGGATAAAACAAATTCCTTCAGGATAGTAAATCTACAATCTTCCCTGATTTCAAGAAGTGCAGAAGGACCTCAGAGCATTGATGGAGTCGAGTGATCAACAACAGATGAACCTCAGTGCTGATGGCACAAGAGAAAAACAGACGTAGCAAGGTCCCTCCAGCATTGAGCTCTTTTGGAACCACTGCGGATGTTCCCTGAAAAATATTAACCTAGTGTTCAGTGCAAATTCAAAAGGCAAATCAAAGAAACCAGAATAAACCAGAAAACATAAGAACATACATCCAGGATGCACCAGAATTTTGAAAACTGCAAGCAAGCTCAGACTTCTCACTAAAAAAAAAAAAAAAAAAAAAACAAAACTAGAAAAAAACAGAGAGAACAAC